AATTACATTTAGTTCCTAAAACATTTGCAAGAAAAACCTAGAAGTTTCTGATCCTCATGAAAATTAGGGAAACTACCCTTCCTGTGCTCCCTCTAACAGAGAGGCAGAGAATGTAAGATATTTAAAATATTGTGACAAAGCTTTCAGTACAGGTTAATAAGTTCACTTTAGTAAGAGTTTGGACTGCAACAAGTGTATGCATTCTTACACTGAAGAGTTAAAATTTTGTCTTCACTGAGGAAAGAGCTCTTTACATTACAGATGTTGCCACACTGTTTTTGACAAACCAGGGAACAGCACAGTGTTCCCTTCACTCCTCGGACACTGTGTTCTTCTCCTAAGACTCAAGGACATCTTAAGAGCATTACTTCAAAGTAAACTGGAAAGAAACACATGATAATCCGAGTTTTGCCTGTATAACAATCGTTGGAGACGATATAAAAAGCAATTCAATCAGAACTAAAAAGTTGTTCCAATCTACACAAAGCTTACTCAACCCTAAAGCCCCTGAATCACTTTGCCAGCTCCCGTGAATTTCCAGGGGAAGGCAATGTACTCTTGGGTTCTCATGAAAGAAATATTTAGACTCAAATGTCAGCCTGCCACAAGACAAAGCACAGACTATTCCTTGTCTGCTCTTAACTGGTCTAAACACATGTGCAGTTGCCTCCCATGTTTAAGAATCTCCTTGAGCACTGGAAAGCTCTACAAAAAATGGTGCTACAGAAGTTGCTTGAGAACACAGAAGCTGAATGTGTTCCCTTACTAGAGGCACCACCCTACCTGTGCACCTGCATTTGTTAAAGATCATTTTTTTTCCAACTGCCACGAAAATTTTGAGTTCAGTTCTAGCAATAGGGTTGGCAGTGCAAGCATCAAATTATGAGTTCTGCAACAAGAAGAAAGTAAAGGCATACCTGTATTGTTCATGCAGCAACTTCTCCTGCATAACAGGGAAAAACAAGAAATTCTAAAGGAAACTGTTTTGAGCCTTTAAAAAAAAACAGGGAATGACTGGAAAAAATGAAATATCTTTTGACAGAAACAAACAAAAACGAGTCCAGAAACGTGTCCCTACAATATCTAACTGGAAACGTTCAACTCTATAACTGTACTCAAGCATTACAGCCACAATAATGCCTACAACACTGTGGAATGAGGATCCAGCTGGCTGAAAGTGAGGTAATAGTTTGTAATAGGTCAGAGTTCTAAAAAAGCACTTTTACATCTTACAAGTCCAAATAAAAAAAAAAAAAGGACACATTTCATACATGTTGGGCTTTCTCACCAGAACTGTACGATAATTAACTCCACACCAGGACCCTACCACACTAAGCCTTACTCATCTTCAATTATATGCTGCAGCAAAGATTTACCAAGCGACACCTAAACTTCAGTACAATATGAAACTTGATTCTTAAAACTTTATACACACAAAATATAAAATTACTGATCTAGGATGGGGTAGGGGAGAGGGATTCTCCTTCATGATACTTGGACTGAAAAACTAGTTTTCAGAGACTGCCACAAATATTATTCACAGTTTCTTGCTGTCAGGCTTTTTCAGCTACATCAACGTAGTACACAACAATACTGTTAAGTCCAATAACTACACTGGATGGACATTCTCGGGAATAAGAGAAACTAGTGACAAAAATTACCCGAAAGGCCTCCTCCTAATGACGTCTCGATTTTTACAGGGTTGCAGTTTGTCTATGTTACACGTCAATGTGATCTCAAAAGAGCAGCAGGAGAAAGATTTTAAACCTTCTCTCCTGTCCAAGTGATCCAAGTAACATAAGCATCCACTTACCAGAAATAACATGAGAAACAAGGCTTTTGTTACAAAGACAGCAGTGAACCACACCTTCCCACACCAAAATATGGTCAACCAGGGATTTTGGTCATGCAAACTGCTGGTCAGCAGAAAATTAAGCATGCTAATGGACAAACATTAATTCCAATCATATATTTAAAATTATCCCAAATACTACTAGTTAGCTACACTGAAAGCGCCTGTAAAAAATTTGTAGTGAAAAATGAAACAAAACATTAGTGATCACTGCAGCACTTAGAGTGATACTAGTCTTACATGATGCATCACCTTCGAGAAAATACATTAGATGGGACTTTGAAACAAAAAGTTAACATTAAAAGGTGCACCTGAATATTACAGACTAAATTTACAAAACCTACAATAAGGTAAAATATATATCTTTTGAATATTCAGCAGCTTTTTTTAAAATTTGTTTTTATTTTTTGAGAGGCTCATGAAATTTTAAAAAGGGACCACTAACTAATCTCAACCATGCTTCACAAAACAATAATGGCTATTTTATATTGCAGTTACCAATGTAATGCAATTAGTGCTTAAAAAATAATCTACACTTTTTTTCTTTTTTTTTTCCTTTTTAAACAGAGACCTTTGGAGGAAATATGGTTGTTCAAAAGCTTCTTGAAAAAGAAAGACTACCTGAATATTAAGTTATCACAGATCAAGTGTTGTGTTGAAAAGCTTTGCAGACATGAGTATTACAATCTTCAGGTCTCAGGACATTTAAACTGAGAAAGTTACGCGTTTGGTTTGTTGTTTGCTTTTTTTTTTTTTTAAATCCACTTTCTAACCAAAGCAAATAAAGAGTACTCAGCTTCTCACTATCTATTTACAATTCTTAGCCTACAGTCTGAAATGACAAGACAAATTCTCTCTTAAAACTGCAGCATTAAAGGGTAGGCACACCATTCTTCTGCTGCACGATTGTCACCCACTTAAACATACACATACAAAATATTTAGGTTCGTAAAATGAGCACTCCATGTACACTAGTGACAAGTTTTATAAAACTCATGTTGCTTAAATAAAGACAACTGCAAAAGCTTAAACCTCTCTGAACAGTAAAACTGTTACATTTTTTTTTTTTTGAAGTTGCAGCAAACTTTCTACCAAAACCTCCAACAGCAGATGAAACCACACATTTAACTGCACCTTTATTGCAATGACCAGATAAACTGGAATGTATTGCAGAGTCTACATACTGCTACTGAGCTTCAACTGCTTTAAATACCAAGATGACAACTAGAGAGCTACGAGGAACCAGGATTTAAGTAAACAAAACCAAAATATACTTGGGGCCAAACGCCCTGTCCGTTTCAAGAATGAGCAGTGCATATTTAAAACAACAGCAATGGTGTGCCTAACCTTTGAAAATATGAAGTTGCTTGGGAGGGGGAGAGGCTAATAGGATCAACTGTTCCTGAAGTCATTCAGCATCCCTAGGGCTATCTAGGCCACCCTCCCACGAGCTTTGAGAAACCACTTTCAATCTCCGACATCACTTAATGCTCTCATACAAAAACTCCAATGCTTCTTTCAGTTGTGCAAATGGGAAAAAAACGGTAATTCTAACTACCTTTTGCACAGATTAAGACCAAATTGTTTCTACCCGAAGAACCAGCAATCCCAATTTGGTCACATGGTGGTAAATCCAGTAAACTCCACCTAGTTACTGACCACTCCCACAGAAAGTATCAAAGATAAAAACTTCTGTACAAAACTTATCCTGGATCTCCATATAATGGTAACGATATCACCATATTGAGAAAAAAAAAAAAAAAAAAGGATCTGTGGTTTACGGAGTGCTTTTATGGTGTTTAAATGCTTATTCTAGCATGTGCTAAACCACTACCAAAATAGATTAAATAAAAACAACAAAAAAAGCAGGACTTAGATTAATTCCTGCTACTGGCAACTGTAATATTTAAAAAGGAAACACCCATTTATTGAGTGTTCGACCCTGACAGTATTACAGATAGATATGATGCAGAGCCTGAATTAGATCAGGCTACCAGTGTTTTACTTCTTCCCTGAACATTAACAAGCTCCTTCACTAATGTGGATATTTGGGCAGACTACTGAGGTTGTAACGTTTGAGATCACTGTTTGTGGGCTTTTTAAAATTTTTTTGCAATATCACAGTAGTTTGTTACACAAATCCCCCTTCCCCAGATTAGAGTCATTTAAACTAGTTGGAACCACATAGTTTAGTAAACTCAGAATCAAGTCTGTAAAAAGCATAAAGGTCACAAAGAACCATAGTTCTGCTATAATGAGGCATACCCTAATACATCATTTAGTGTACCCTGACTGCTCCTGACTGTGAGAAGCTTGTCTTCCATGAGATAAGGCTACATCCTCGAGCAGGTGAGTCTAAATATCACCCTTCAAAAATATCAAACAAAATTACAGCAAAGGTAGTGTTACAAATAATTAACTGACATATTCTGAAGGTAGCATATGTACGTTTTCCCTCCCCTCCCCTCCGGGTGAGCACTAAGCAGACAGTGAATGGTATGTATGTATAATTTAGAACTAACATAGTGGAGAACGTCATTAGACCCAATTGATTATCCATTGAATAAACAAATCTCTGAGGTTCAAGAGAGGTACCATTCCTAAATAACTTGATTTAGCTTAGATCTTTCAATCAACTGGATCAAAGAAAAGGAGGGGAAAAAAAGATTTCTGAAACATTTTGAAGAATGACAGTCTGATTCTCATTCAGAAAAAAAAAAAAAAAAAGTCTGGTTTTAAGAAAGTATCAGTTTAACAAAGTGGACTTATTTGTATGAAGGCAGACATGAAAAATCCAACACCAGAAGTTCAGAGAGGCTCTACGGGCAAGATGTCCACTTCCACAGATCTGCATTCTTAGTGAGGTAACTTAACTCTCTATTACAGAGAAACATGCAAAAGGCAAACAAAATAAAATAAGAAAAAAGGGGGTAGTGGGCAGGTGAAGGAGGAAAACTGCGCCATACCAGGCTAGAAAAATTTACAAATGTGACATTCAGAGCACACCTTTCACCTGTATCCACACAAGTCTATGCTAAACTGCAAAGCCAAGAGCACTGCAGTAAATAGGAGAATCAGGTGCGCTCAGTGGTGGTTGAATTATGCAGTAGTGCTCACCCAGTTTGCAAATTGGCACTCTACAACATCCCTACTCATCTTTCAATTCATTCGCACTTTGTGCTGCTTCTCCCTGGGGATCTAATTCAATTTTTACTGAAACATCCTGCCCCTCCGACCTCATTAATTTCATTTTTTTCTTTGGAGGGTTTTTCAAAGTGCCCAGCCTCTCTTTAACTTTGTACTCCAGTGTACTGTGGGGGATCCCATAAATACTCTGAGCTTTGGAAACGCTCATTTTCCCACTCATAACCACAGAGATTGCTTCCTCCAGTATCTCACTGTTGTACTGTCTGTATCTCCCTCTTTTCTTCCTAGGTTGCTTGGAGCCAGGATCTCCCTCTTGATCTGAGGTGGGATACGGCTGTCCAGAGGTAGACTGCTCAGCATCTGAGCCCCAGGAATCTGGTCCAGCTTCCAGCAAATTTCTCCTGTTTTGTTTTGGAAGGATAGCCCTTAACTTTTTGCTAAGCGCGCTCTCCGTTTGTGAACCCATTACCAAAGAGCTATAGCTGTACTGGTCACCAGTGCGGGACTCCCATGAAAGGTCCATGCCTCGAACTTGTGGTATCTTTAAATCCACAGGAGACGAATGGCTCACGTCCTTTTTCCCATCCTGTTTATTTTGAAGTGCCATTTTTTGAAAGGCAGTGTTTTCTGTAAGAAAAGGAAGGTCACTGATGTTGCTGAGTGCACCATTTCCCCTGAATTTCATGCGGCTGAAATTGAATTCGTAGTGTGGTTTTGCCCAAGAAGCCTCCCTGGATAATATTAAGTGCTGTCCATGATTCTGTAGTCCAGACGGCCCATGGCTGGCAGCCGTAGAAAACTGGTTTCTGCTCAGCAGTTCTTCACTAATCTGGAGTGATCGAGCCAGCGGTACTTTAAGAGATGTGGAGTGGCCATAACCTTCCCTGGTTCCATCCTGCAAGCTTCTTGGAGGTACCCCATCACCACTCTGTAGTCCCTCCGGATGGTGCTGGCTGGGTCTCCCAGGTCGCCTAATTGGATGGAAGGAAACTGATGTGAGCAGGACTTGCACAGGTAGGGAGGGATGGGTGAGGGGGCCACTCCTTTATTAGAAGGCCTTGCTTGGGTAACATCACTTTTTGTGTTATTTATTTTTCTCTAAATTTTTTTTAATTCAATTTTTTTTTTTTAAAGTCTCAGCATCAGTCAGTTTTAAAACTTGTTCGCAAAAAAGGAGAAGCTTTTTGGGCAAAGAAAAACGAAACCTGTTGGCTGGTCTCTGGTTGGGTTCACAAATTCTCGGAGTAGAAAAGACTTCGCGCAAGTGTCTGAAAATAGCACCTTAATTACAAAGTAGTAATCAATCTCCATAGATCTACACACAACTGTGTTACTGGTGTGACGTTACCACTAAACAAGTACAGTAATAAAAGAGTAAGCCAAAGTGCAACATATTCAACATGCAAATATGACTGCCATCTGCAATACCTACACATAGATGGAAACCTTGGATGGTGTTCGCTTACATCATATTGAAGAATTGCTGCTCAGGATAAAAAAATGCTTAGCAAGCCTCAAAGATATTTGCTTGACTTCCCTTAAGCACCAAATATGAAAGCTGGGATACTGAAGGTCACAAAGGAAAACTCTACATTACACTAGACTTACCAAATCACTCTCTTAACAACTAATTGCATATATACATGTCCCTGATTCTCATTCGATATACAGCATGGCTAGGAAAAAAAGATCTAAGCTCCAACCATCATTCAGATCAAGGGTTAGTAGCAGAAAAAGCAATGTGTATTTTTACCATTTTCCTTTCGTCACAAGTCTTCTCTCTATGACACAATCTTCTTTCTATGACACAAAGTACTACTACTGCAGATAAACACGTGTATTTTAATATTTTGCTTGCTTAGCCCCCTGTAGTAACTAAGTCACACTAGTTTCAAAATCCACCCCCAAACTTTTCAATGTTCAACGTACAGATTAATGAAGAGTGATTCTATTTTAAAGCCCTGGGACGCTATACTGATGTAAAGCCTTCTAGCTAAGTCAGCGTTATTTAAGGATAGGATACATACTACTGAAAAGCTACATTATTCTTTTTAACGTTACATTGGGATTAAAAAAAAAAGTCTTTAGAGAGAAGACATTCACTGAAAGGACCTGGCATGTAACATACACAGCACTTGATACATATGCTGACAGCTTCTCTCCAGGATAGGACAGGTCATACTTGAAGTGGGTAAGGAGTCAACAAGGATTCAGAACAAAATCCTGAGAAATGAATGAAAGTTTGCTGTTCCAGAGAACTCCCTCAAGAAATGGGCAGTCTCTGCCCCTTCTACAGCACATATCAGCATCAGAATGTGCAACAGTGATTCTACACCTAAATAAAGGTCATATTGACAGCTAACTAGGACAGAGGATCGCACCTGATGTCGTTGACGCTAAACAGACTGCAGTCACCCTCATCTACCACACACCTGTACAAGTAACCACAGGTGCCAGTATGCCGCATCCTCTCCAGACTCACAGAATGGATCAGGACCGTGCCAAATGCTGGCCCTGTCATCCCTGTGTGTCGGACTTTGGCCCTCACTTGATACACAAACAAGGGAACAAATAATAAATACACAGCCTCGGTGGCTTCTGCTACCTTTCTAGGAAAATAAAGCTGGAAATAACCTGTTCAGCACTGAAAGAGAAGAGCTGGCAGGGAAGGTTTATGTTAAAGAACTACGAAAAAGTATTAGGACTAACTTTTAAACAAGGATTGATGTATTTTATTAATAGAAATATTAAATGGAAAAAAATCTTGAAAGGAGAAATCTGAGACAGTAACATTTTTCCAAAGAGAAATGCAAAAGTTAAATCAATTGTTAGCAGTACATGGGATTGGTGGTGGTGGGTTGTTAGTTTAAAATTTCAAGTTTTTCAAAGGCTATTGTAAAGCCAAATGCAGAAATTAAATAGCAGTTTAAATCTTATACTGTTTCCGTGCTTCACTAAAAAAAAAAAAATTACTTGTTCACAGTAGCTTCAAGATAAAATTCTCCCATCAACATTCAAAATCCCTCTTACTCCCAGTCAGCCTCTCCAGTACAATTAACTCAATCCTAGCTAAATGTAAGGGTTTCTAAATGTATACAAATTGTGACCATTAGAAATATGAAACCTAGAAGAATTTTTTTGACATAACATTCTTTCACACCTTGAACTAAGTAAGGCAAGAGTAGTATGCCACATTCTTTATAATTAAAAAACAAAACAAATAAACCCCAAACCTTGTCCAGTGCTACAGAATAGGTGCAAATCCAAAAAGCCATATTTAAAGTTTTCTGAACTACCAGACAGACACCCTCCCCCCACCATTTTTCTTTTTTTAAGTTGTGGTTTATGGTAGGAAATATGAACAAGGAACATTCAGTGATTCAAATCTTACTCAGTTTGGTTCATCACCCAAATCACTGCTACCCCTAAAATAAACTTTCCTGTTAGCTAACTTTCCCCTAAGTGAAATGAAGTCTAAATTATATTGCAAAGCCTCCACGGACATCACATCACTAAACCCAAGCAGGTAATGGAAAGATCTTTGGCTAAGTACAAATTGGACAAAATATTAGAGTTCTTAACTGCAACTTAAGCTTGTCTCAGTTTGCAGCAACTCTTATTTGGCAGATGGGGTGAAGGTATTTGCCAAAGATACAAACTGAAAAACAGATTACTCCAGAGGGTTAACACCAAAAGTAAGTTAAAATTAACAGGAAGTAAGCACACATTTTTAGTAAAAAACAGTTTTAAAAGGTCATAGTAAGTTGCTTTCTCTTACCCATTTCCTGGAGTACTGGAGCACCCTGGAGAATGACTCAGGGAAGTGCTACCGGCACAAGGACTCTTCTTAGTGGATAAATCAAGCACACCGTCTGTAGAGACAAAAGAATGACTTCAGTGTTTGAAGAAGCAGGATCAGCCACGTCGTCCCTTGACAAAACAAGTCTTTTGGGCTTAAGTTACATTTAGCACACAGCATTTTCTATTTTATTTTTAAACAAACTAAGGCTTGGATTTGTTTGCAATTTGGCTTACAAGTGACTTCAACATAAGTCACAACAAAAATTGCAAAATTAAAAGTGCATCTGTTAAAAGCACCAGAGAATAAAAGATGACCTACAAATGACAGTTCAGGATACATCACAGACTACCACATAACTAACAGTCAGTGGTCACAAAATGAGACAGTCTTCAAATTCCTGAGACATCTCCCCCCCCTTAAAGGGAAGCCAGTATTTGAATTTTTTTTTTGATCCAAATCTCTGGAGGAAAATTCATTGACAATTTCATATTGGAAACTCGCTTTCAAATGAACGCACATACCTAAATGTGGGACTCCTCTCCTGGCAGCTAAGCTTCATCCTTTTTTCCATGCCTCCCATGGGTCCCTACTGGCAAAACTGCTGCCTTTCCCCCTCTCTACTGTGCCATTTTACTTCCTCTCTTCTATATACCAAATTGTTTTTCCGGCTAGACTGCTTCATCCATTCTCACTAATGGCACTTCCTCACGCTCACCCGTGCTCCTCTGCAAGCCTGTATGTAAACTCTGCATTTCTAGGCAACAGAAAAGGGACCATTTTTTGCCTTGCTCCCACTGCACTGAAACAACTTGACATTCTGGTCATTTTAGTAAGCACAACATTGCCATAGACAGTACAGCCATCTGAAATTCCTGGAAACTCTGAAACAAGGAATTCATGAGGCAAAGATAAATGAAACTTGTTGGCAAGGTAAACTAGAGACATTTCAGAGCTCCTCACTCATTCCATCTAATCAAGTAAATACCACCCAACACAAGAACAATGTAAGATGGCTTTCAGATTGCTTAAAGTTCTCATTTGACATATGGAGAAAAAACATGATAAACAGTGAACTAGAATTAACTTAGGGAAAGCTGTTCCACCCACTGCATTTGGGAACATACCATAACCCAAACTTAAGCAAGCAGAGAATTCAGTCTTCCTTCTGAACCACACTTATGCAGCCACAAAATACAGAGACTGGATCAAGTAGCACCTCCTTTTGAAGAGGCCATATTAAATAGCACAGGCTGCTGCCAACGGTACCTGCATCCAAGCTTCCTCTGTCAAAAGGGTCACTGCAACCTAGAAGCACCTAAGGGCAAGTAGGACCAGACTCTTACACCACAGAGCAGTTTACAACTAGCTGCATTCCTCTCAACCCTCTAGAACAAAAATATAACAAAAAGCACCAGTAGCAGCCTTTCACAACAGCTTCTTAAATCTCTCATCAACGTTTGGCAAAACCTCTTCCCAATTACACCGAATGTAAATTGGAAAAAAATAATTACATCAGTAATATGTAATAAACAGATTATTACATAAGTTAATATGCACATGTTCTAATTCCTTAACAATTCTAACTCCATAACAAGTGTTATGAACACTGTAAATTATCTTAAAGCTTTTTTGTCACATCGTAGCTAAAGAACAGTTCACGTAAAGGCTTAAGTGAACTTAGTAAGTGTCCAGACACTCAAGCTACACATTGTTGCACACACACAAAAATTAACCTTTCAACAAAAGGCTTCATGAACATATGTTCAAGGAATAAAGGGATACCTACAATTCTGTAGAAGCTAGCAAAAGGCTTTTTTTTTTTAAGGCACCTTTTCCACCTCAGGATGGACAGCCTACATTGTATTTGGAAGAATGATTTCAGACACTCACTAATAAATTTCTAAAGAAGGGTAAAGGGGCTAATTTAAATCCTATCAGTAGGATAAACTTATGATAACCTCTATTCAACAGTTTCAGAAAAAAAAAACCCCAACATTCACATACTATAACCTCTCACAGAATTTGCTTGTTAAAAAACATTTTGAAGGAAAGCAAAGTTTTCAAATTAAAACAAGCTCTGCAAGACTGTTTTAAGTTACTCAATCTGTGCTCTGCAACACAAGTCTATTTTTAAAGTAGAAGAGAGACATTTCTTCCAAATGCGTAAACCTGGAAGTTTTGTACAGTTCATGGGTATCATATTTTTACAGCCTTCACAAAGCAATTTCTGAGACTTTTAAAATATACTGTTCTCACGCTATGACCAGAAAGAAAATAAAACAGTCCTTCAGTCAGACTGTGTACTGATTTTCAGAAAGGAGACAACACTGTGGTTTTCATGACCACATGAACTTGTCTTATCTATTTTGGCAGACTGTTTCTTGATACTTCGGCAGTGCTGTGCAGCAGTAACAGCACACTTATCCCCAGAGTCTGGAGCATGTCCATCCCCTTTGCTCCTCTTCAGAAAAACTACCCGTGTCTATGGACTACGTTCTTTCAAAAACTCTTCTCTCTGAGCCACATCTAGCTAGTCACTATTTTATTGTAAAAACATCTACTGCTTTTCCACTTCACATTTTATATGAAAGTGCAAGCTTCTAATTGTCTGGTTTTGCAAGAAGAATGCCATTAATGGATTGCCATAGGATGCAAGACACTGACAAGAGTCCTACCTTGTTCACTAGGTTCTGACTGAGACTTTCTGACAGTAAGGTCCAGAGGTGAGTCTTGGTCAGCCATGAGAAGTTTGCTGAGCACAGGGTTCTGAGCAGTTGCAGCCGTGGGAGAGGAGGTGACCAGAGATGCTTTCAGCAGGCTTTGGTTCTTTGTGCTATTGGGCTGGCTGGAGTCCTGAGTAGAGCTATTTTTTGAGGTATATTCAGCAGCAAACTGTCGGATCATTCGCTGCATGATCTCACGGGCCACTAGGGGAATATTGGGGTCAGAGACCCTAGGACTGTCTGTAAATATTAGAGATTTTTTTTTTTAAGGAGGCACTTTAAGTAAAACAGCTTTTATATTAAGTCATTGTTTATAAAAAAAAAAAAAATAGGAAAAAAATAAAAGCCAAAAATAAAATAGTCTCTGCAGAAAATGTACTTTAGTCTTAGAATACCTGAACAAGAAGCATTGCTAATTCTGGTATAACCTTCCCAAAATAAACAGTCTCCTAAAAGAAATACTCAATCTCATCTTTTGTTTTCAAATATAGATATAATCGATCAAACATTTAAGAGGTGTGGAAATGGAAAGGAGAACTAGACCCATGAAGAAAAGTACCAAGTAATGAAACTCATTACAAAAAAATTGAACAGGTTATTCAGTGGAAGAATTGAGCAACTTACCTGCAGCTATAGAAGGGGAGAAAGGAGAATAAAGTTACAGCAGTCCCCTACAAGTTTACTGAGAAATAAAGCCCTATAGTTCTGATTCTTCAAAATAATTCACATGAAGGTCAAACGTTCAAGTGTCTTCCATCCCATCCTATCTACTCCTTTCAATATTTCTGTCATTATAATCAACGCAGCATCAGGTATTACCCAAAGAACTTTCACATATACAAAAAACAAAGATGTGTCACACGAAAACTAATTCTATTTCTAGAAGAGCTGATAAATAATTAGTTAGAAATGTGAAGTGGAACATGTAGACATTCCAATTTATTTATATGAACTAGTGTAAAAATAACAGAGGTATCTGGGGATGTGGGCAATCAAAAAATATACTGGCAAAAATCACTATTTTAGACCACGATGTAAAAGCAAATCTGTAAATCCTAAATCACAGAAGCTAAGTTCTGCCTCTTCACCTCAAACACTGATTGTGTTCTCTGCTCAAATTAGTTTTGTTTTTTTTGAAGAAAACAAAACAACCCAAGACCAAACCAAACAAAAAAACCACACCAAAACAACAACGAAAAAACCCAACACACTACAACCACACAACAACTCCAGAAATAGCTCAAAAGGTTTGATTTTCTATTTCTGAAGAAATGTTCAAAGAAAATTGTGCAGTAGAAGACCAAATAAATCTTTAAAAGCAGCTGTCAAAATGGAACAATAGAAAGGTGTTTACTTCCTCTTAAAAAAAAATTGCCCAGGTTGAAAGGTAATCTATTGAGATTGAACTATTACAAGCATTAGCAAAATCTTCTGTGGGACATTTCAGTGTTAGATTTGCCTTTTGCTGCCATTTTTGACAAAAATGCATCAATCAAACAAACCAGCTTTAGTATATCTGCAAAGGATGATTGACATGAAGGTTTGAGCACAGTTGCCCACAAAGCAGAGAGCAGCAGTAAACAGCTACTGTGTTTCTTGATGGAAAACTATATTGAGCTCTAAATACTTATCAAGCCCAAATTCCTTCCTGTCAAGGAGAGCCTTCTAAATCTAATACCTTACACAATCACCATGTATATTCTTACAGGGTATAATAGCTGTAAACTTCCAAGATGTTTATGTAAATACGTAATAATTTTCTTGTAAAATCTGCAGGATGTTTTACTGTTGCTAAGGATGAGACACGAGAGTTCTAAGAAGCCACCAAGAGATGAGGCAAACTTAAATTTAGGTACACTTATATTCTCACTTTCTTCCCAAATGGTCCACAAGGACACAAGCTTGGAGAAGTGTGGAGGCTTTTTTCCCCTATAGTGACACTTCTTTCACTTTCTAACCTGTCTACTACAACCTGTTGAAGGACATATGAAAGGCTCTAGGGAAGCCCAGAAGGGCACAAACTGATGGCAGTTACCAACTATTTGACACGTGCTTGTAGCATATACCAGTGGCACTGGCAGGAATATGGGACCTGTCTTCTGAAGACGAATCATGCCTTTACTGTGTACCCGTGTCCATATGTCCAATTCAGTAACGCTTGCAGCTGAACATATTTCCAAATTCAGGGAGAAAAATATTATACATGCTTACAGTCATGCATCACTGTAATCTGCAACTTCAAAGAATCAGCACAGAGTGATTATAGAGACCTTCCTAGCGCCGCTCAAGATAAACTCAATTTTCAAGTAGAATGGTAGTTGCCTACCATATTAAAGGCTTTTTGCTTAATATAAAGCCTGAATGCTAGGGACTTAAGCTGTTCCAAAGCGAATGGAAAATATTTGCTGATGCCTTTGCAGCATCACCTGAAGTCAACCACATATTTATTTTGACTCCATGTGTCTAGGCTTTTTGAAAAAAAAATAACAAACAAACCTAAAATTAACTAAAACATAGAAATTCTCAGATATTAAGAATACAGCAAATATTTATCAGCTATAAATAGTCTAAAGCAGTACCTCTGCACTTTAAAAGCTTAATAGCTTTTGTCTATTTCATCTATAATTAAATCTTTGAAGGGCAGTATCAAACAAAAAAAAAATATCATTTCATTAAACCATCAAAAGAAGGTCCTATCCTGCCAGAAGGTAAAGGTAACAGACAACGAGGTACTACCACTCTGCCTTCTCTGGAAAGTTTGAATATTTGAAAGACACATTACTGAGTCAGAGTGCCATGGGCATAAAGCAGAGCAAAAGTAGGAAACCTGTTCATAAAGTTTGCTGATCTTGCTAATTACCTATGTATGTGAAGTACATAAGTGCATGTCCTTGACATGCAACAGGCATCTATTGACAGAACATCTGCATTTTCTGTGATCTGCCTGGGGTACAAAATACCAGTCTCAAATGTTACTGTCAGTGAGGATGGAAAGAAAAAAAAGAACTAATTGCTGGCATGAAGCCAGGAGAGCTCAGCATCTCTGAGCAATGTAGGAGCTGCCAGTCTGTGTGTCCTCTTCGGTATGACAGTGCCTGCGGATCTTATGGCAGTGGCATGAGTTAGAATAATCTTTTGAGCAATCTAAATACAGTCAAGCTTGACAACAGTGCATTAAGAATTCAGAACTGACGTCCTGCAAGGCTTCTTCCCCTCCCTTATTACTCTTGCATCAAGCACAGCTTTGCCAGAGGAAGGAAAGCAAGAGTATATTTAAAGGAAAAAAAACAACCATTCTCAAAGATTCTTAGACACTTTAAGTGACTTGGTTATCTTCATTCTGTGTATCTGACCATGGACAGCATTAAAGCCCCCATGAGCACACTGCAACACCTGACAGTAGTTTTCCAGCAATTAAGAATGCACTTCTAATAAGACACATACACCAGTCATACATAAAAATTTAAGCTCTATGTTAAAGGGATGAAGTCTTTAATAAACAATTTGGAAGTGATGGAAGTGCATTTTTTTTCCCTCACACCAGAAAAGTTATATGGGAAAAAAAAGTATATTTTCTCTATTTTTTTTGTTTTCTTAAATGCCTTCTGAATTTAGATAGACAGGACAAATTTAAAAGCAAAAGGAAACACTAACCTTGAAAGCAAAAAAACCCACACTACTGAAAAGGAAGACTTGGAATAAAAGCACTATCTTGACCATCAGTGGTAATGCCATAACTATCCTTCCTACCATCCTACATGCTTCTATACTTTATGCAATACATCATAATGTATAGTTTGTATTTATTCATTTGAGTCATAAAAGAAAGGCTAAAGATAATGTTATCTACTTAAAACACCTTTAAATATTTTGGTCACTGGGAGGAAGGGCTGAGGATGGCTACAGTAATTTCTAATTTGTTAAACTGAAGCCCCACATTGTCCCCCAGCAGACAGGTTGAAATTACTGATTTGGCAGATTTTTCTCACACATGGGTTAGACTGATAAGTACAATGTACTTTCATTCAGGATGCATTTGGAAGCAACCTCTGGATTCCCATTTCTCAGATTGGTAGAAACAAGTGAAATGAGTTTTGTGTCTTCCTAAGAGCACAGTTTAACTGACATAACTCTCCAGAAGAGGTTTATGGGATTTTCTAGCATTGAGCTACTCTCATTATCCTCAGCATATTCTACAGTACTGATTTTCCAATTCGTTTGCTGATCATATTTCAAATTCCCCATATATCCCCCTTTAGCACTATTCCAACAATATTTTATACTGTGGATTACTGGGGATGGGGCAGGTAATCACTACAGACCATATTGAAAAGACTGCTGCCCTTAAAAGAAAAACTGCATGTGTACACATCTAATTAAAATAATTAAAAAAAAAAATACTCACCTACTACCACCACTTCCACTTGTCCCTTCTTCCAAACAGCCCACTCATCTAAACATTGGTTTCAGGGGAGTAGTTCTGCTACTACTGAATGAACCAAGTCATTCCTCCAAAAGTGCAAAACACCAGTGTTCTTATGGAGAGATTTGTTTTAGGGTTAAATATGTTATACTCTCCCAAGCCCACACTGCTGTATCGCTACATTATTTGAGAGTCAATTTTTACTCTTGATAAATATATATATACACACACATACACATATATATATATATAAAGACGACAACCAAAAAATCCTGAACATACAATGACAACTTGAAGGTCAGAACTTTGATACCTGCATTGCATGCAAAAAGACCAGCAAGAGAGACCATTTCCTCCCCCCCATTAAAACTAACCTTTTCTGTAAAAGACTGCATTGAGGAACTCTTCCGCTTGCCTTTCAAAACGAATGATTTTTGCTTGCTCTTGTCTAAGCAGAGCTTCTTGTCCAGCTTCCAAGGCTGGCTCATCCAGACTGACTAAGTGTTCCTGCAAAGATATTTAATACTTGTAAGACTTTTCCTCCAAAATGAATAAAGTTCCTTAGACATTAAATATTTTACTAAATTCAAAACCTTGTTAGGTACTCAGCAAAGAGCTGAATCTATTAAAATCAGAGCTCGATTTTTGACTGCTCCAGAACATTGTACTTTGTCCTGTTTTCTTGTTGTAAATGAAGCAGAAGCCTGTAAGAATTGAGAACATCATGGCAAAAATTAGAGCCCAGTATAGAGAAGATTTAGATATTTTACAACATTCGACTGCAAAACTCTTATCTAGCACTCATTCTGTGGCTATTACTTTTACTTCCAAGAAATAACTGCTGAAGGCAAAGCACAGAAGGTACTCCTTACTCTACTCAGCATTCATGCAAACTGAGCAACAAATGACAAAGCATTAGCAACAAACAGGGCCCTTCATGAAAAGGCTCAGTAGTAGCTACTTTCAAGTGAAATAAACTTGTTAGCCGCTTACAACACCCACAATGAATTAAAATTCATTCTGTCTCTTACAACTGGAAGCAACTGAGTTATCTCAAGAATACTTCAAAACAAGTGTTTTAACTAGGATAATTAAATTGTGTGAGATGCCAGGATAAATTACTCATTTTAAATACAACTCAAGAAACTAGAAGACAATGGTTACAAAAATATGAAATCTAAATGCTTGGATTCCCCTCCAGACACACACCCCTTTTCTTATTTCTTTCACTTTAATTAATGCCTTGCTCCTGCTTAGGAGAACAGTCTCCTTCCTGGCCCTCTCCCTCCACTTTCATTTTAAACTACATTGAAGTTACCTGTATTTACCTACT